AAGAAACATTGGGGTCCTACGAAGAATTAGTAATGTGAAAAATGTAATATAGTTTGGGGAATTCTTTAAAGTTTTCTTCTCCTTTCTTCCTGCTTTCTCTTTGTCTTCTTTCTTACCTTCCTTCCTTCTCCTTTCTTTTTTCCTTCCACCAAAAGCAGAATACATCAAATGTTAGAAAGAATAACATCTATGGAGTAGAAAATTCCTTGTATTTTTCAATAATTTGTGACTACTTTCCATACAAGATGCTGCCCTTTTCTATCACTGCAGATGAATAATGCAAGCACCAGAAAGCAGAAATGACTTTCCCATACCTGGGAAGAAGTAGTCGTAGTTTTTAAATTCTGACAATTTTGATTTCAAGGCTTGAGACTTATAAAATATCCTCTACTGAGAATCTATACTTCCCTCCTCTGATTTGTCTCACAATCTCACTGATTTATGTATGTCCTTTTAGACTAGATTTCAATCTTTTAAAAGCCCATTAAAATAAGCCTCCGTGTTGATTTATGTGACATATATTTACTTGAATTTATCATTTATTTTTACACAGTCAGTCAGTTCACAGAGGATTTCCTCCGGGTCGATTCAGTGGATGGATTTGCATATGAATTCTGGGGGTTACAATAAGGAAGTTTTACAACAGTTGACCTATGTATGCTCCTCAAGTTTGTAGCTTTAAAAACATTGTATTTATTCTTTATGTGTATATATTACTGCATTTCATGTAGATGGAGAGATGGAAATACAGTGAACTTACCAATGTAAACTTACTGTTAGACACATACATTATGAGTCAAGACACCAGGAAGTATTGCAACCTAATAGTAAGATGGCTATCAATGCATGGTTTGCATGTGAAGTCAATTAAGTTTCGCGTTTACAGAGCACTTCCATCATGTTAGGCTGAGGATAAAATTCTATGAAGACCAGACCTTGCCTCTGAGAAACATGGGTATGAAGAAACCATAGACAGGAATAAGTCAGTGATGTAATCCTGGAGTTGAAAGCCAGGTATAAGGAGAGATTCGTTGATGTAAAGATATTGTTTCTCTCCATGAATGGTTTTATGAGAATCAAGGCAATGCAGGGAAACTGCAAGCTTGATGTCTAGTCAGACACACATCCATTTATGAGTGTTAACAAAAGAGGAAATGGTGCTGTCTAGGACTGCTGTAGTAAATCAGAACCCAAGAAGGCAGTGAAGCACACAGGCATGGTGGGAGAGGAAATTGAAGATCTTGACTTGGCTAGTGAGTTGTACTGGCAACTGAGTCATGATGTGTGTGGCTCATGGGAACTGTTGAAGCTAGCTTATTCCATTTCATGGTTTTCCTCCCATAGCCTTGATGCCTTTTTTTTTAATGATGTTTTTAACATGAGATGAAAAGACATAGTCTGGGTTCAGAATTTACCTCTTTCAATTTCTGTGGCTTTGGCAAATTACATGACTTCTTCAGATCCCTTAATAAATCATCTGCAAAATGTGTGGAATAATTTCTTTCTTACAAAGGTTTGAAAAGGTCTTTTTTTTTCTTCATTGCACTATATATTGTGCATCAGATGATCAGGCAGTGATCCCAGCTGCTGTTCTGTATACTGTGTCAGCTTTAAAGAGGCGAGGTTGTTGTCACTTCATGGTTTATGTGCATTTGGAATAATTGCTTCCATATTTCTGACAAAAATTAAGTTGTGAAGTTAAATTTTACCATAAATTTTGGGATACAAATTTACTTGTTATAGTTAATGGCTGCCTTCATTTCTTACCTCATAAGCAGCAGAGCTTAGCTAAGTAGTTTAAGACTGTGGTCCTCAACCCAGGTTGCATTGTTAGAGTCATCTGGAAAGATTGCAGAAACCATTATCCAGATGCTACCCCAACCCACGGAGCTGAGATTTCCTGGCTGAGTAGCTCTTATGTTGTAGCAGATCATCATCTATGAGGTGGTAGAGCCTACTTTATAGAGTTGATTTGAGGATCACAGTAAAAAAAAAAAAATCTGGGCTGGAGAGATGGCTCAGAGGTTAAGAGCACCGACTGCACTTCCAGAGGTCCTGAGTTCAATTCCCAGCAACCACATGGTGGCTCACAACCATCTGTAATCAGATCTGGCACCCTCTTCTGTATACATGATAAAAAAATAAATCTTTAAAAAAAAATCTTTTCCCAAGCAACTGATGCAACGTAATCTTAAAGCATTTTAGATCATGCTCTTAGGGACATAAGCATGCACTAAGAGAAACAGGAGAGAACAAAGGAAGTCAAAGGCAACAATATGTCATGTATTGAACAGAGCAAGAGAAAAAGTTTGCAGGAAATCCCATCTCCACCATACCATTTAGTCCATTTTAATGAATATGTGCTTGTGGCTTTCTCCAGGACTACAGAATTCATACCCCAGGCATCTCTAATGATTAAGAACAGGAATAAGGACCATCTTATGAATGGCAGGCACTATTAGGAGGGAAGACATCTAGGGCAGTTTCCTTCCTTCCTTCCTTCCTTCCTTCCTTCCTTCCTTCCTTCCTTCCTTCCTTCCTTCCTTCCTTCCTTCCTTCCTTCCTTTTAATTAGTAGTGATGGTGTTTTTCCCATCTTTTTTTAATTTAAGAAATTTTTTTTCATTTTACATACCAACCACAGATCCCCCTCTTATCCTTGCTCCCGCTCTCTCCCCCAGTCTCCGCCCCCCATCTCACTCCACTCCATCCTCTGCTCCAAAAGAGTAAGACCTCCTATGAGGAGTCAGCAAACCCTGGTACATTCAGTTGAGGCAGGACCCCCTCCCCCATCAAGGCTGGACAAGGCATCCCACCATAGGTAATGGACTCCAGAAATCCAGCTCATGCACCAGGAATAAATCCTAATCCCACTGGCAGAGGCCCCTCAAACAGACCGAGTTACACAATTGCTTGCTGTATTTAGAGGGCCTAGTCTTATCCAATGCAGGTTCCACAGCTGTCTGCTGTGGGACGGTCTGTATGTCAAATTGCTCTGATTGGTCAATAAATAAAACACTGGTTGGCCAGTGGCCAGGCAGGAAGTAGGTGGGACAAGGAGAGAGGAGAATTCTGGGAAGCGGAAGGCTGAGGCGGAGAGACACTGCAGCCGCCGCCATGACCAGCAGCATGTGAAGATGCCAGCAAGCCACCAGCCATGTGGCAAGGTATAGACTTATGGAAATGGATTAATTTAAGCTATAAGAAGAGTTAGCAAGAAGCCTGCCACGGCCATACAGTTTGTAAGCAATATAAGTCTCTCTGTTTACTTGGTTGGGTCTGAGCGGCTGTGGGACTGGCGGGTGACAAAGATTTGTCCTGACTGTGGGCAAGGCGGAAAACTCTAGCTACAGCTGTCAGTCTAAAATTCCTGAGATCCTAATGATTCAGTTGTCTCTGTAGATTTCCTCATAGTGATCTTGACCCCCATTGCTCATATAATCCCTCTTCCCTCTCTTTGACTGGACTCTGGGAACTCGGCCTGGTGCTTGGCTGTGGATCTCTGAATCTGCTTCCATCAGTTACTGGATAAAGCCTCTAGCTTCTTTGGAGCTGTGGGTTGTAGTCTGGTTATCCTTTGCTTTACATCTAGTATCCATTTATGAGTAAGTACATACCATGTTTATCTTTCTGAGTCTGGATTACCTCACTCAGGATGATATTTTCTAATTCCATCCATTTGCCTGCAAATTTCATGATGTTATTGTTTTTTATAGCTGAGTAATACTCCATTGTGTATATGTACAACATTTTCTTTATCCATTCTTTGGTTGAGGGGCATCTAGGTTGCTTCCAGTTTCTGTCTATTATGAATAATGCTGTTATGAACATAGTTGAGCATGTGTCTTTCTGGCATGTATTTAAGGAAATGAATCACAGTTTTACTAGATATGGTCTTATTTCAAATTGGTAATTTCGCAACAACATTCTGAACTGAGAGTGTGCTTACTCAAGTGAGCCATGCAAAAAAGAGAACTATCATGATATTACTTATATTTGGAACCTAACAATAGTTGAATTCACAGATTCAGAGGGTAGAATAATGATTACCAGGGCTTGCAGTGGTGGACTGGGGAGGGAAAATATTAGTTAAATATTATTAGTGCATGGGAAGAATAAGTTCTGATGGCCAGTCAAGCATTGTGGTGATTATACGTCAGAAATATATTGTCTTTCACAAGCCTGAAAAGAGTGGAATTGTAGTGAGCTTAGTGCAAAGGAAAGGTAAGTGTTGATGCAAAGCAGGAAGTGGTACATCTCTTTGTTAGCATAGTTTGGTCATCTTATATTGTGTGTTCATATAAATACTTCACATTGTAAGTAATGAATGTGTACAGTACTTATTTGTTGTTTAAAAATAAAATAAGATTTAAAAAGAGGTGACTGGAAAGAGTAACCTGAAAACATGACAGGACAGTACAAAACTAATGAGAGCGCTTGACACAGGGGATAAGTCCCATCCTCAGGCAGGGGAGTGCTCCAGAGGACTAGAGTTTAAGGTGAAGCTAGAAGAGGAATCGAGCTACTGGGGTGAAGAGCTTGAAGACAAATGTGTGTGAATAAGTAGGCTGTGTAGAAATGGAGAGACCTCCAGAGAGAGGGGAGAATACAAATGAGGTTTCTTTTAGAACTCTCGTGAGCTTATCAGTGAATACGGATTCCTGTGACACCTGACCATGGAGTTGTAGAACACATAGTGCTGAGACCCCAGGCATCTTAAAGCTAGGCTAGTGTAAGAAATTGACCCAGAAATGGAAAAATATATTAAAGTGATTGTATCATTAGCAAAAAGGAGAAAAGTCAGTTTTAAGGCCATTGAGAGCAGAAGGAAATTGTTTTTACTCAGGGAGCTTTAGTAAGATGAAAGGAACGCTTCAGGATTCTTAGAGGAGCTGGTATTTGTCATGGACCTTAGAGAGCAGGGCGAGACCTGCAACTGCAGGTCAAGGTTGCTTGTCATTTGTACTTGACTCTGTTTTGACCCTTGTCTTGTTTGTTCAGGTAGGATTGTGTCTAAGCAGAGCCTCTGCATCTGTCCTGAACCTCAACTGCAGCCTTATCCTTTTACCCATGTGCCGGACACTCCTGGCTTATCTTCGAGGATCACAGAAGGTAGGGAAAAAAAAAAAAAAACTTGATGAATTTCTGTGGAAAAAATCAAATGTAATGATTACATGTTAGTTCTCCTGTTTTTATGAACTTATTTTATTTGGAAGTTTTCTTCTCAGTGGTGGTAAGGGACACATGGTCAGAAAGCTACTCTGCAAAACTAGCCCAGGGCAGAGGATTGCAGACATACCTTTAATCATGCTTTTAGGTACTATTTTCAGTACTTCAGGACTCTCATGACTCATAAGAACAGCTCTACAATCAGATACTGCTGCTCTATTTTAAGCTTGAGAACCTGAGGTACAGAGAATATGGCTTGACCAAGATCAGAAATGAGTGACCGACAGAGCTAAATTGTTTCAGTGATCTGTGAAAAACATAATACTGATTTACTCTAGTGAAACTCAGTTGTTTTTTCATGTAATTATATTTGGAAAGTGTTTATCTTAATGCAGTCATTTATGGAAATAACATTCCCTAGGTTGCAAGTATTCTTAAAGGCTAGGATTTGATCTCTCTGGCTGGTTATTGGATAGGCATGAAGAGAAGGAAAATAAGTGGCAGGAAGTGAAAAGTAAAGAGTTGTTGCCTAGTATGAAGCACAGATATTCAAAGATTCCTGGCAATTATTTTTCTATAAAATCGAGCAGGTATTTAAAACCACAGATTGGATTGGTCTAACTTAAAAAATAAACTTATTTTTTGCAACACAAAAGCAATCAGATATTCTATCAAATTTAAAGATTAAAAAAAAATATGCCAGGTTATCAGACAGTTTCACCTACCTGTGTTCCAACAAAACCACGGCTGATGACAGTTGGGGACAAATGCCAGCACAGACATTTAAGTGCAGTGACATTTGCTTTGAAGAACATAAGGTCGCAATGCAGTTCTAATATTTTTATCTAACAGTTTGTCTTTCAGTTTTTCAAATCAATAACATACCTTCTCACATTCGTTTGAATTGCATCAGTGAATAATTATGTCATAATTCTCTCAGTTTTGACTAATAGACTCATGTTATATTTACAAATTTTTGATGATACTAGCAAGAATGGAATGAAAAAATTTGTACATATTTTGACTGGTTGTATTACTCTTACCGTATAAATTCATGTTTATTTAGGTTCCAAGCAGGAGAACAAGAAGATTATTGGATAAAAGTAAGACATTCCACATAACCTGTGGCATAACTATCTGTATTTTCTCAGGTGAGAAAGCTGAAAAGCATGATTTTATTAGAATTGTATATTTTACCAGTGTAGAATATTTGATTTTCTTCTGTATGTTTTCACCTACCATGAACTTATTTGGTGATTTTCTAATTATATATGTTAGTCGCTCTTTTGTGAATTGGAGGAGAGTTGTGAAAGGAACTACAGAACATGGCTGTTTCTTATGGCATTTTGCATTATGTTGTCCAGGTGCTGAACCCAAGGTCATAGTGATTTACTTGCAAATTATTTCATTTGTAAAGTTTAAAATAAGGAGACCAAGCATTTCCAAGCTTAAAAGTATTATGGTATGACCTTATGTGAATGAAAATTAGAATGTGAGTTTTTCATTTAAAAATATGATGCTAGCTCAATATGTATTTTGCAAGCATGTTTTATATCGATAATTGGGTACAAGAATAGATTTTAAATTTGTGTAATTTTATCTTGATTCATTTCAAGTTAGCAAATGTAAAGTGAGAAACTTTAAAAGTTGATTCAATATAAGTTTTAACCTTGAACATTTATATATAATATATATATATATATATATATAGTGACATGTACCCATCAATACAGTATCATATGGAATATTTCCACCGTTCTGAACATACTCAGTGTTCTACCAGTTTGTTTTTCTCTTCTCTCTGAAACTCTCCTTTTTCTGTCTACAGAGTTTTTTCTTTTCTTTTCTTTTTTTTCTTTTCTTTTATTTTTTATGTCAGGTACCTAGAACCATAGAATGCATTGGCTTTTCTGATTTGCCTTGTTCAATGCATCATATAAATTTAAGTTCCTTCCTATATTTTTTATCACTTGATGGCTCATGTCATTTCAGAGTTGACTGGTATTTATTTCACTGTCTAGATAAACTACAGTTCATGCATTCACCTACATCCTGGTTGCTTCCAACTTTTTTCAATTATGGCTGAAGTTGCTGTAAAATAATCTGTCTATGTCTCTGTTGTCTCTGTCACCCTTTCCTCCTCTCCCTTCCTTTTCTGTCTCTGAATCTGTCTCTGTCTCCTGTGTATATGTCATATGTGTGTTTTGTGACTAGAGGGTTCTTAAGTATTTTGGGGTAAGCGTGAGAGGAAGATAAATTGAATTTTATCATCCAAAGAGGCCATCCCCCATCAGTGAAACCGAGTTCCCATTTCAACAGCCATTCTTTTATGAAACTGATTTACATTATTGTAGTTCATGATACAAAGTGTGAAACATTTTCTTATGCTTATTTATCATTTACATATTTCCTTTTGTGAGGTACCTGTTCAGATCTTTGACTCTTCTTTTAATCAGATAATATTTTAGATTGTTGTTTTAAGTAGTTCACACCTTTAATCCCAGAACTTAGGAGGCAGAGGCAGGTTGATCTTTGAGTTGGAGGCCAGACTCGTTTGCATAGAGGGAGTTCAAGGACAGCCAGGACTATACAGAAAACCCTATCTCCAAGAAAACAAAACAAAAACAAACAAGAAAGTCCCGTCTCAGGACTTTAAGTCTTTGAAAGTTGGGTTTTGCCCAGTCTGCAGCATGTGTTCTCATCTCTTCCATTCCTGGAAGAAAAAAAGTTAAATCTTAATGTTGTCTACTTTATCAGTCATTTTTTTATAGATTATTTCTTTGAATTGAGTCAAAATATTAATTTATTGATTCCATGTGATTTCCATAAAATATTAATGACATACTCACAGAATCAGAGAATATATGGAATTATAGTATAACTTATATGGAAATGAGAAGAAAGTAAAACAGACTGAATAGCCAAAGTAGTCATGAGCAAGAAGAACAAAGATGGAGGCATTATGCTCTCTAACTTTAATTTTGATTCAATTTATTACAAAAGTATAGAAATCAAGAGCATAATGCAGAGCTAGAGAGATAGCTTGGGTTCCCAGCACCCACACTAGGTGCATTACAACTGCCTGCAACTCTAGTTCCCGGGGATCCAACACCCACTACTAGTTTCTGCTGGCACATGTCCACATGTGGTATACACAGACACACATATGCCCATAAATACACGTTTTTAAAAAGAGAGCGTGATATTAGCGTATAAAAAGACACAGAGAATCTCTGAGATGACTCAGTGGGTAAAAGCTCGTTCCACACAGGCCTCTTGACCTGAGTTTGACCAGAACCCACACAGAGAGCCAGAGTTCATGGTATGGATCAGTCATCCCAGAACTCTTTATTGCTAGATCAGAGACAGGAGAATAGCTGAAAGCTGAGGCTGGCTAGCTGGCCTACATGATGTTGTGCAGTAGAAAGAAAAGAGACCTTGCCTCAACAAGTTGGAAGGTAAGAACTGACACTTGAAAGTTGTCCTTGGACCTCCACATATGTGCTGTTGCATGTATGTGCATGCAGACCAGAAAATTGGTTATTTAAAAAGATAAAAAGACACATAGTCAAATGAGTCAGCATAGTATGCTCTGAAATAATGCCATGCAGTTGCAGTCAAGTGATTCTCTACATAGGTGCCAAAAACACAGTGGATGAACAGGATCCTTTCCATTAAATTGTGCTCAGCATACTGAGTCATCACATAACTCTAACTCCAAATAAAAATCAGCTTAAAAATGGATTAAAGACTTACATTTTAGATGGAAAGACAAGGGGGTTTGAAAGCCCAGCATTTAAGAGTGCTGCTCAATCATGAGGACTGGAGTTCAAGTCCATATCTGGTAGCTCACAAAAGCCAGAAACTCCAGCTCCAAGGGATCTAGAACCATTTTATGGCCTCCATGGGCACTTGCTCATATACATTGTATATGTATATACAATCATGCAGACATACACATTAATAAGAACAAATAAATTAATATCTTTTAACAAGTGTAACCTTGAAAATGCAAAAAACAAACAAAAACTATATGCTAAAATCCTACTTTTTCTTTCATTTGTTGTCTCTGGTCCTTGTAAAAGCATTATTGGTTATATTCATTTGAGTCGAATTTTGGATTCTCAATTCCCTTGTTTCATTTGTATATTTTTCTGCCAGTAACATGCTCTCTTGAGTACTGTAACTTCTTGGCAATTTGAGAATCTTTCTGCTTTTAATGCAACCCTTCGTTCATGCCCAACTTGATTACCTGACTTATAAGTCCTCAAAGTTAACTTCTAGGATATTTGACATCCTGAACATCTCTTACCTTTATTGGTCTTTGTGGCTAATCCATAGTTCTTGGTTTTTCTGTATGTTATAGTCTTAAGTTTCAGGGATTATAAGCTTGTCTAGTTTCCAGGCCATGTTTCCTTTGAACCAGTAAACTTCATATGTTATTGTAAACTGTAATGGTTTATTAGCCACTACAGAACATTTATGTCTTATTTTTTGTGCCAGACCAGTCCCTACATTTATTTACCCTAGGAACTCATGAGGAATGAGGTATAAGAGACTTAGTTAGAAATAAAGAGGGGAGAGACAACACAGAATAGACTTGGGTGGGCCTGGATCCTCATCCACCGGCCCAGAACTTTATTCCAAAGGTCTATTTATAACAATACCAAAGGGTGGAATAAAAGACCTCTCCCTTGCAAGTTACAGTCAAGTGTAGACCCTTACAAACACCTGATACTCAGGCCTGTGGTCCAGTCAATTCTTTTGCAGTCCTGCTGGGTACAGCCTCTAGGAAACCTAGTGGGCTCCAACACTTTTCTGTCTCCATCATTTTACAGATAAATTTAAGATTAATAGACAGGTTATAGGGCCAAAGCTATAGGAATTTCTTTAGTCAGTGCATTATAATAGAATGTTAGTTTATACTCACTTAAACACCAATAACAGATTGGTGAAGGAGGAGGCATGGCAGCCTCATTGAACAGATTATTTGTTCTCTGCTTGCCTGTCTTGAGATAATTTTCTTCCCTGGCTATGACAAAAAGAGTTGTCTCAAACCTCTCATAATTCCCAGATGCATGCATCTTTTATATACCCCCAGAGATAGGTGAGCGCTGTGTTGGTGGTGTGGTTATAGGTGGGATATTTGTCAAGTGGTGATTACTATTTTCCCTACTTTTTCTTTTGTGACATGCCTTTCAACACTTTCCTGTTGAGCTTAAAGAATTAGTTATTAATGGTGAAAAACTTCAGCTGGATAAAAGCCATCCAGTAGGCTGCGATTGGGATGGATGACAGTGAAGTATATAAGATAGAGTAGGCTGGAGCAATGGGAAAGATGAAAGATGTGCAACACAAAGATTTCCAGGAAATGATTTAGTAAACAAATGAATGCTTGTGTTGATAGACATAGAATGTTGGGTAGAGGAGAGAGGGGGGCAGGGAGTAGAGGAAGAAATGGGAGACATTGAGTGAAAATCCCTAGATCTTGACCTAAATTACTATGGTTATTTTATTCTACCTTTTTTTTTTTTTTTTTTTTTTTTTTTTTTTTTTTTTTTTTTTTTTTTTTTGGTTTTTGGTTTTTCGAGACAGGGTTTCTCTGTGTAGCTTCGTGCCTTTCATGGAATTTGCTCTGTAGACCAGGCTGGCCTTGAACTCACAGAGATCTACCTGGCTCTGCCTGCCCAGTGCTGGCATTAAAGGCGTGAACCAACAACACACAGCTTTATTCTAGCTTTTTAAAATTTAGTAAACTACGTTCAGGTGATTTTTATTTTGTGTTTTAGAATAATTTCAACTTAATAGTTCATTGCTTAGATAACTATTGGAGTTTGATCCTTAAATCCTTAATTGTTTATGGAGAACTGTTGGCTTCTAGCCAAAGGGCATGTGTGGAAAGCCCACTGACTTATACCTGGTGTGGTTCCGTAGGTGTGCATGTGGCTGCCCACTTGATGAATGCCCTCAACTTCTCAGTGAACTATAGTGAAGATTTCCTTGAACTGAATGCAGCAAGATACCGAAATGAGGTGGGTGGTCCCTGCCCTTCCATTTCCCTCTCACTTGTCATTAGATAACTAATGAGGGTCTGTGATTTTGACAGAAAATTTGTACCTTGCTGCTCCTTTGAGTGCTTTTAAAATGCAGTTGTCAAGTTGAGTTTTATTCCCTTTCAATAGAAATTGCAGGTAATTACTATTCTATAGTTTCTCCTGATGAAAATGGGAGACTGCAGTGTCTACTTTTTATATCCTGCAATATTAAGAAGGTTGCCACTCAGATCTACTTTCTGACTCCCAACAGTTTTTGTCTAATTCCTCTCAGTTAGCTGAGAGTGTCGACAGTGCTAATCTCAGATAAAAATACTTTAATAACTCACTTACTGTGCTGGGGGAAAAGGGCACAGCTGTAGGTTGATTATTTGTGGATTCTAAAGAATGAATGTTAGTGTGTTTTTATGATGACTTTGTTTCCATGAAATATATGACCATGAGCTGAATTTCCTAGCATGTGATATCTGACTTAGGGATGCTGTTCTTTCATGTGATCTCTTATTTGATCATGAGATGAGGTTTTACATGCTGAGCCAGAGCCAGATGCACAGCGCTGTTAGGTCTCTGTGGCTTAGTACTTTCACATCGTGTTCAGATAGTCATTGCTTCCCAAGGCCATGGCTGCAACCAAGTCAAACTGCTCTGTCTTCCAGCCCTTTTGTGGTGAGTGACAGTGACTTTTCCTCTCATTAATGTTCTTCTCATTCCAGACTCCATTTTCTCTTCCACATACTGTTAGGACTTTCACAGACAAGGCTGCTCTAATTGTTTGTTTGATTCTCATCTTAAAAGGAAACAAATGACAGAACACATTGTAAAACTGAATACCTCTGATCACTTTTGATAAATCTCTTGCCTCTAGAATCATCTGAAAACAGCAATATGATTTAATTAGTATGATGCATGGGCATTGCTATTTTCAAAACATGTGATTATATACTGTGTAAAGCACTGAGATTCCCTGGAGAACCTAGCTTCCTAGCTTGTCAAGGGACAGCTCTCCATGTCATGTTCTGTTTCTCTCCTCTCCACTTTCTGTCCCTATGCTATCCTCTAGCCTTTTCCCACATTATCAATGGTTACTTGTTTCCAGTCCCCACTACAGTTTCATTGGCTTAACATTTCCTTTTCATCTCCTCTTTCTATAATTCATGCCTGTTTAACACCTATAATAGTTTTCCTATTTTCATACTACCTATTTATGTTTAGTTGTCCAATATTCCACTTGGTATTTTTAGTCTTTTTTGGGGGGGGAGGCGGGGATTGAGACAGGATTTCTCTGTATAGTTCTGGCTGTCCTGGAACTCACTTTGTAGACTAAATTGGCTTCAAACTCACAGAGATCCACCAACCTTTGACTCCCTGAGGCTGGTTTAAAGGCATGTACCAACATGCCTGGCCTGTGTTTTTAGAAAAATTATTTTTTGTTGAGCATTGAACACAATGTATTTAAAAGCTACCTTAGTTGTAGAGTCAGGACAGTAATGGGTTTCTAAGCTTGCAATCTTCTGGGCAACATAATGAGAACATAATATATATTTTATTTTGTATTATAGCTTAAGTTATTGCGTCTCAAAGTCATTGAAAAGTAAACCACATTACAAACAGCCTGTAATCAGATCAATGGTCAGACCTTCCACCTTATCCAGTGCTTTCCTTTTCTAGGGTGGGAAGACTTCTCTAGTTTTGCTTTTTATAGTGCAAAAAATGTCCGGAGACTTAATTGAGCCTGTTACTCACACTGGAAGATTAGTGCCCTAATTCCTAATACAGGGTAACACATACTGCAAACCTTTTGCAGAGGTTTGTGCCATTAGCATTTTATTTTCCAGTCAAATGTTTTCTTCTTTTCTTTTCTTAGGATCCTAGAAAGCTTCTCTTCACAACTGGTAAGTCATTATTATTGTTTTTTCTTGGATTCACAAGCAAAGGTCTTTGGAAATAAGCATGATCAAATTACACAACAGCTGGTATGTGCTAAATTACAACATTCCGTAAGTGATGTTAATAGTTTAGCTATGATGCTTAGTGTCAACTGAGGGAGCAAAACAGAGTTCGGAGCGCGAATAAATAAAGAGTAGAAGAATAGTTGGATCTGGGGGGAGATTGATCCCCAATTTTCTAAGAAAGCGCCATATTGATTTCCAAAGTGGTTGTACAAGCTTGCATTCCCACCAGCAGTGGAGGAGAGTTCCCCTAGCTCCACATCCTCTCCAGCATAAGGTGTCTTCAGTGTTTTTGATCTTAGCCATTCTGACAGGCTTAGCCATTCTGACAGGTGTAAGGTTAGGTATCTCAGAGTTGTTTTGATTTGCATTTCCCTGATGATTAGGGATGTTGAGCAATTCCTTAAATGTCTTTCAGCCATTTGAGTTTCCTTTGTTGAGAATTCTCTGTTTAGTTCTAAAGCCCATTTCTTAATTGAGGGGAGAGGGGCGGGAGGGGGGAGAACAAGGGAATCGTGGCTGATCTGTAGAACTGAATTGTATTGTAAAATAAAATAAAATTAAAAAAAAATTTAATGTGGAAAAAGAAATAAAGAGTAAAAGTAATCAGTCACACTGGTATGGTGTACATTCTTTGGCAATGTTTTTGAATGAAAAGACTATAACCTTCATGCTCCCTGAAGGCCTGCCTTGACTTGTGGCAGTAGCTGGTGCTGTGAGAGGTAATATACATGTCCCGAGTCCCTGCTCAAAAACTTTAGAGGGAAAGCACCAGACTATTGGTGTCAGTGTAGTTCTAATAAGTCAGTCATTTTGAACAGATAAGCAAGATACGATCTTAAACCTGCAAGTGAGAAAGTCATTAAAATAACTTCCGTTTTAGGGCTGTGTTACCCTTTCCATTTGTGACTGATTGTTCCTTTTTAAGAATATCCACTCGAGGTCATTCAGGTAGGGCAGTTGGTGCAATTATGTATTGTAAAGGCTACTAATTATTCATTTTCATATTAGTAGATAAAATCATTAAGGATACATGGACCCATTTTTTTTCTCTAAAAAATACAAGTATATGTTTGGCTTTATTCTTTGAGAGGCTCGAGTACTTTCAGATAAATAAGTATAATTTATTTAAGCAAATTTAGAATTTGTGTCCCTAAGTGGCTAATGGATTAGAACTTAGTTTAGCTGCCAGCCAAGAGTATGCTAGAGGCCATTCAATGTTTCAGGGATGGTTCAGTATTTATCACTTAGAGTCCCCTGTGCTGTAATTTCTATGTTGTTTAATCTGCCTGGATCCAACAAAGGACCAAGATTTTTTTTTAGACTAGCTTCATTTTATATGAAAATCTACTGATACACTCTAAATGTCTGCCAATAATTAATTGAACACAAAATCTACTTGTCGATCTCTTTAATTTGACACAGAGATCTATCTACACAACATCCTACATAGTAAGACACCATTTTTCCCTGTTTACTTCCATATACTAAGACCTGGGGTTTCTTTAAGATAGTCTCAACCCTTACCTTTTCAGTCACTATAATTACAACAGTCATTATAATCTTCAGTCATTATAATTAATATATAATTATCTTTACCAATTATATTTTTCTTCTTCATTTTTCTGAATGAAATGATCTTCTTATAAATTTTGACTAGCAGTCAGTTTTGTAGGATTGAATCCAGGGCTTGCACCTTCTACGCAAACAGTCCATGACTAAGCTTCATACTCAGTCTGAACTACATAGACCCTTTTTTCCCTCCTTTTCTTTTTAATTGAGAAATTTTCTACTCACCCTACATACCACCTACAGATCCCACCTCCTCCCTTCTACCCTCCAGCCCTCCCTCCCAAGCTACCCTCCATCCCCACCTCCTCCAAATCAAGGTCTCCCATGGGGAATCATTGGACCCCAGCACACAGAGCCAGAGCTAGGCATGTACAAGCCCCTTTCTGCTGCATCAAGGCTGTGCAAGGTGCCATAGCACGGCACCGGGATCCATTCCTGCTACATAGACTCTTAATCATTTTGAGAGACAGAATTCTGCACATCCATGTTCTTTTGCTCCTTTACTCACAGTAACTAAGGAATTGAACCAGTCAAGATGAACAGCTAAAGAAAACATGGCACACACATGTAACTGGATTTTATTCATCCTTGCAGAAAAATAAAATTATGACATCTACAGAAAATAGGGGGCACTGAAAGTTATTTTAAGCAAAATAATCCAGAGAGAGAAAGCCTGTGTTTTCTCCCACAACTAAAATCCTACTTTAGTGTGTGTGTGTGTGTGTGTGTTTCTGTGTATGTGTTAAAGGGGTGTAAATATAGATCATGAAACCAAAAAGGAAATCATGGAGGGAGGGTTGGAATCCTACAGAGTGGAATGGGAAAAAGAGGGTAATACAAAGTGTTTGACATGAAAGCAGAAGTGAGCGGCGGGGTGAGGTGGGACCTGAGGGAGGAGAATAGGGGGACAAAGGCAGGGAGGAGATTCATCAGGAATGCAGATGTCATAATGAAACCCAATATGTTGTATATTGGGTTTAAAATATACTGTAAAATTAATTTGAGTGTACAGAAAAAAAAGCAACATGTTTTAGATAGAATGATAATTTCATCAAAAGAATTAAAAATCATTAAATTTATTCTCTGTAGTTTTCAGATGAGATTCAGCAAGCTTATGGATTTGCCAGAGGAATAACTACAAGACCATAATGTCACGCCATTTTGAACATTGGCTGGGTGCTTGCAAACTTCTCTACCCTTTTCCAATGACAGAAGTCAAGCCTGCTAGGTCTCTCTCTGTCTCTCCCTTTCTTTCCGAGGTTTTCCTACATATTTTCAATGTTCTGCTTCATGGAGAGAATTCTCTACTCAATGTGAGGAAATATTTGAGTTCAGCACATGTTTTACTGTAGCTCTTATGAGATACTTTATTACACTACTGTGACTTGTGACTCTTCAAAGAATGCTTATGACTCTTGAGTAACAGAAGTGAATATCTTAAGGAAATGGAAAATTGTGGCTGTATTTCAAACATACCCTTTTTTTTAAGTTTCCTTCTATTAAGATGATTTGTAGACAGATATTCATTGACCAATTGTGGCAGGTCCAGAATAACACAGGGAACCTTCATACCTAAATAATTCATGAAGGGATAATGAAATTATCAGGGAAGTCCATCTGATCACAAATTTTATAGTATGTAACAATCATGGGGTCTAACACTTAAGTGGTTTTTAAGGCTTAAGTAGAGGTTTTTGTTGTTTGTTTTTCAAATCTTTCCAAACTTAACTAACATTCACTAAATCACACACACACACACACACACACACACACACACACACACACACGTGTGTGTGTGTGTGTGTGTGTGTGTAAAACATACTGTTTTAATGGCATATGTGTTAGTCTTTACCAAAATGAAGACTTCAAATATTTCCATTACCCTGCTCCCAAATATGACCCTTAAGAATTCCTCTTATCCTCTGTTCCTTCTAGTGACTCATGTGCTTTTTGTTTGTTTGTTTGTTTGTTTGTTTTGTTTTTTGTTTTTTTTGAGACAGGGTTTCTCTGTGTAACTTTGTGCCTTTCCTGGATCTTGCTCTGTAGACCAGACTGGCCTCAAACTCACAGAGATCTACCTGGCTCTGCCTCCCGAGTGCTGGGATTAAAGGCGTACGCCATCACCACCCAGCTCAACTCATGTGCTTTTTATAACTAAAAGATAATATGAAAATTCTAGACTTTTTCATAAAAATTCATCAGCACATTTCTATATTTTAGTAGGTAAAAAAAATTAAAAATTAGCTTCTTTTATTCAATCTAGTAATTTGGGGATTCATCTATGTTGATGTTTAATCCATCAATAGTTCCTATTTTATTGGTTATTAATTTTCCATATATGTGTGTGTGTGTGTGTGTGTGTGTGTGTGTGTGTGTGTATGCAGTTGTTTCTCTATTTACCTGTTGGTATGAATGTGAGTATCTGTATCCCATGACTATTAAAAACAGCTATGTATGTTCTCAAATGAGTATTTGGGTTGCTATATGCTTGTTTCTTTGAGTAGCTACTTAGGAACCAGGCCAATCAGGGATGTTGCTTTTTAAGTAGTCTGTTGTCTGCCCTGCAGTGTGAGGGGGATTGATTTCTTCCCATGTGGCTAAGAAGCAATCATTTACCTAGAGGAAATGGAAAGGGTGCTGTGAAATGAATACTATAGGAAAAAAAAAAACTGCACAGAAGACATGGTTTGGATTAGGAGCATCAGGCAAGGGCATGCATGATTCCTGATGGCATTAAGTCTGTGTATTTGGAAAAGGACTCAACTCTTAACATGCCAAACAAGATTAGATCCCTTGTTTTTCATGTGGCTCTTTAAAGTGAAATTTGTTTCTACCATAGCAAGTATTCTGCTATCATTATTTTCTAGTTGTTGAAAACACTTTGAAATCTGAATGATGCACACATGCACTGTCCTTACACTGTTCCAAGCTGGGTTGTTTCTTTCATGGTTACCTGTCAGTGAAAACTTTTCTGCCCCATAGGTGCTGCCCAACAGAAAGAGAAGTGGGAAGTATATAGACTTCTCCAGACAGAATCAGTTGAATAATTTTTTCTTTGGACCAATTTCAGAGTCCCTCATATGGGGAATTTAGGACTTACTATTGTTTATGTGATTTTATGAATTAAAAAATAGTAATGAGATAGGCAGAGTTATTCATTTTTACAATTTTAACAAAGTAAGGGGTCGATTTACATTTTAGCTTACATATATATCAGCTATTCATTCTAGACATGGTATATGGTCTAGTGCTATATTTGTAGCTATAAAAATCATTAATTTTAACATGTCTGCAGATTTTTTCTTTAATTCAAATTTATTTTATACTATATCAGAGCATTGTTTTTATATTTTGTAGACATTATTTGTCTGTGCGGGGGTGTCACAGTGTCTCTGTGTGAAGGGTGTACATCAGAGGACAGTTTATGGGAGTTATTTTTCTCCTTTCACTGTGTGAACTATTGGACTGAAACTTAAATTTTCAGCCTTGGTGGCAAGCACCTTTACCTGCTGAGTTATCTCACAGAACCTACAGTGCTTTTGATATGAAGAAAAAATAAATCTAGAAGCTTTCTTCAAATACCAGCACAGTTAGGGCCTACCATAGAAGATGGGGAAGACAGATTATAAGAGCCAGAGGGCCAGAGCATTTGTTTCAAGATAGTGTCTTCTTTATATGACAGGAAAGTTACACCCATGAAACCTCAACAATTTGATTGCCTAAACAAGACCTACATAATGCCATGCCAATGTAGAGCTATAGTCAATTTTATGGCAGCACTAATTAAACACTATTTTCTTTAAAATGGTTCTCCCACAAAGACTCAGGGGTCACTCTGGAAGGAGTGGAAAGAGTGTAAGAGTTAGAGGAGGTGGATCGCTACAAGGAAAGAGTGTCTTCTGGATTCAGTGAGGCAGCCACACAGATGAACTCACAGCAGTTGTAACAGCATGGTCAAGATATGTGCAAGCCTAAAGGAGGCCAAATGCTAGTATGCAGCAGGGAGTTGGGCACAGAGCTCCAACCCTAGCCAAGTGGCTATTGGCAGTTCTTCGCTGCTGGGAAAGGAAGGATCCGTTTCCTCTAAAAGTATAGTCCCTGATAAATTGATCACATCCCAGCAGAAAACCACAGATCTAAGAATATTTGGGCAGTACAAATTGGTCTTGTTGAGAAAAGGGGAAAAAAAGGAGCGGGCACAAAGTTGGGTGGGAAAGGAAACAGTGAATCTGAAAGAGTTGGGGGTGGAACATGAATATAATGAAAACACAGTGTACAAAATTCCCAAAGAACTAATAAAAACTATTTCAAGTAGTGAAGTCTAAAAAGTTACTTGAAATTGATGTGGAAGGATGTGCTAGTTCTATACTAGGACAGAACAGAGTAAAGTAGGTGAGTACTGTGGTGAAAGTCATAGAAACTAACTGCTCTAGCATTAATTAATATCATTTGGGAGAGTGTGTATGTGCAGAAGTAATTATGCCCTCATCATTTTGAGTGGATTATTAGGCAATGCAGGAATGGACTCTTCTACTCCAGGAACAAAAGGCTGCCTTGTCTGAAATACTTTGAGGCTGTACTGACTTTCTTATCAGCTTGTTTGAGGGTATGTATATACAGAGAAATAAAATATGAATTTCCTTTGCACTGAATAGCATACTATACTTTAGACTTTAAGGTCATAATTTTTCAAATTTCTTTCCAGTATGAGTGAAGTTGAGATGTACTTGTAAATGTTTTTACAGTTCCTGGTCTGACAGGTGTCTTCATGGTGGTGGTACTGTTCCTCATGGTTACAGCTTCTACCTATGCAATAAGGTTAGTAGTGTCAGAGTGACAGTTTTGTTATTCACCTGTCCACGTTGTCCAGATTTCCTTCCACTTATACTCATTTCCATACAAACAGAAAAAGTCTGGGAAGCCTAAAGTATTTAGACAGTGCAGTTAGGTGATTATTGTAGTTGCCACTGTTGAAGTAGAACCATTTCTATATTTCATTTCCATTTTTTGAAAATTACATTGTATTAGTCTTAAGGAATAATATATGAAATTTTCTATTGAATACCAGTGGAAGTTGAATTTTTCAGGATCTTTCATAGAAAATGTAATTGGATATGAGATAACATTTGACTGTATACCCAGACTTTGAGAGTTCCCAGGAATATGTGCCTTAAAAATATTCTATAGCTTATTACCTGATGACAGTTTTTGGTTTTGACTATAATATAAAATAGTTTTCTAAATAAAGCCTCTGAAATCAAATTGACACATGCTAAAATATGTAGAAACACTCTGATTCACATTGTTTTTTCTAGTAAAAACATTTTGATGGGGCTTAGAAGATGATCCAGCTGGGAAAGTGCTTGCCACACAGCCGCACAGCATGAGGTCCTGAGTGCAAACCCCTATTATCAATGCACAAGTCAGGCATAGTGCATATCTATAATTCCAGCACTGGGGAGATAATTATAGACAAGTGAATAACTGGGGCTTTCTGGACACACACACACACACACACACACACACACACACACACACACACACAAGTGAATAATACATGAAATAAATACATGAAAATAAAAATAGCTTGAAAAATGTCAGACATATGTCAGCAGCACTTTCATGTCCTTCTTTCTGGGTGAGCACATTCCATTTCAGAATAGAAGTCTGTCACATATCACATCAAACTTTTTGCTTTGTTTGTTTACATACATTTTTAACTCTATGCTAAGGACAGAGTTTAGATGTGAAATAGTTGGCACAAAAGGTAAGTGCATTTTTAAGCCTCCTATAGAAACTATGAATAATAAAGTCTAAGTTTGGGGAAATAGGCAATTCTTCTGTATGGTTGGGTCTGAAATTGATACACTTATTTTAGGGAGCATTAGACAATCATTAAAAGTAATAACAATTATGTAATATTTGACCTAGAGATAAAAACAAATTAGATATGTACAAAATTCATATTATGAAGATTTTGGTGATATTGTTTATGAAAGCAAGTGCTATGAATTAAGTAAATGGAAAATAATTAGCTATTACTTAAATAGGGTTTTTAAAAAGTTGTTAGGATAAATATTATTGTCATTCAAAGAGCTCTTACAAATGTCTACCCTCTACATCTAATATAGTAAATAAATAAGCATTTACCCTAAAATCATGAAATAAAATAAATCTGGGTGCCTCTCACACATATTCAACAAATGCTGCTTCTTGTTTTATTTTCTGTCCTCCCGCAGAACAATAACACCGTCTTAGTTAGGGTTTCTATTGCTGTGAGAAAACACCATGACAAAAAGCAGCTTGAGGAGGAAAGAGCTTGTGTCAGCTCAGGTGTGACACTCCATCACCAAGGGAAGTCTGGGCCGGGATTCAAGGCAGGAACTTGAAGGCAGGCCCTGAAACAGTTGCTGTGGAAAAATGCTGGTACTTACTAGCTTCTTCCTCCTTTTCTCAGCTTGCTCCCTTATACAGCTTGGTACTACTTGCCCAAGGTGGACACCACCCACAGTAGGCTGGCTTCTCTGCAACAGTCATTAATCAAGAAAATGGCCCACATACAGGCAACCTTTTCCTCAATTAAGGTTTGTTTTCCCAAATAACTAGTTTGTATCAAGTTGGAAAAAACAAAACAAAACAAAACAAAAAAAAAGAACTAGCCAGAACATTTGACCCTCTTGTCAAATTGACACTCCAATATATTACTTTCCTTTATTTTTTATCCTCAAGGTCTCATCTTCATATCAATTTCTCATAAACCATGTTTCAACTTTTAAAATTCCCAGTTTTTAGAAATTCAGTCTCTTTAAAATGTCCCAAGTCCCTCTAAATTCCAAAGTCTCTTAATTGTGTTCTCCTGCAAAACCAAAAATAAATTACTTAGTTTTCATTTCAAGAAGAAGAGCCTGGGCACAGTTCAAATCAGATCAGAGCAAAAACAACATTCAGGGGTGTAAAGCTGTGTCAGACTTCTTGGACCCATGATCTGGCCTTGACAGGCCTAGGCAGTTCCACGTCTATGGTTCTGCCAGCCACAGCCCATGTAGCTTGTCTTATAAGCTCAGGCTACCTTCCACACCTGCTGCAGGCTTTGGTGGTCTCCCTGTGCTACTAGCATCCCCCACATGCTGGAATATCACCTGCACCCCGGCTGCTCCTTAACCAGTGTCCTTTCTGCGGCTGTAGTTAGGGACTCTGACCCTGACACGTGATGCCAAGCCTCAGCTTCTTTCCAGGACTCCTTCCATCCTGGGGCTTCTACTGCAATTGAGTCTCTTACCTCACCAGTGGCTTCTCCAGGCCTCCCACAGTGCCAAGACTCAGCTGCTTTCCATAACCCCTTCATGCCTCCAAAATCAATACCACCTAGGAAACCCTTACACATTACCAAATCCAGGTGCCAGCCTGAACTTGACCACCTCTGGACCCTGCCTTCTAAGTTCTGACCCAGGGGAAACATTTCTCAGAGAATTTCTTTTCAGTAACAGTGGTCTCTTCCTGATTAAGGCCATTTTTTTTCACCCCTACCTGACCAGAACCATGTATTCTTAGTTTAAAATATTGAACATACCAGATAGAGTCTTTAAGAAACTCTCTAACTTCCCTCTGCAAGTTTATAAACTAGGCCAACGTTATTTGCGTTGTCTTTAGCATTGAAAGTTCCCACAATAGCTCAATACACTCTGAACATAAAATTATTTTCTATCCCAAAGTTCTGAGTCCTTCCACAACTACCCCCACCCCCACCCCAGAACATGCTCAGGTGTGTCACAGAAACACCCCATTCCTGGTACCGATTTCTGTCTTCGAAAGGCTTTCTGTTGCTGCTTGAAATGCCATGACCAAATGTGATTTGGAGAAGAAAGGATTTATTTCAGCTTACAATTCCACATCACAATGTATTGTCAAAGAAAGTCAAGGCAGAAATTCAAGGTGGAAACCTGGAAGTGGTAGCTGAAGCAGAAAGAGGAATGCTGAAATTTTAGTGATAATTTAATTTTTCCATTTAAGTTTTCTTTGAACTTTTTCAAAATATCCTTTGAAACCAGACATTACTTATATTGGAAATACTGGACAACTTAAAAATTTAATATATGTGTAAAAAAAGAAAAAAGAGAGAGCTGAAATTGTGATGCTTGCCTTTAATGTCAGTACTCAGGAGTCAGAGACAGGTGATCTGTGAATTTGAGGCCACGCTTGTCAGCATAGTGAGTTCCATGATTACATAGAGAAACCATGTCTCAAAACAAATAAAAAAAATGCTACTAAAAAGGATAGAAAAGTTCTAAATTAGACTATACCATGGTCTTTATTTAAATTCAATATATATTATTTAAGAAGTATATATAATTTTCAAATGGTAAATATTACTCATGCGTTTTGCTAGTACACCTTATGTAGCGAGTTAATACCCTGATATCAATAAATGAATCTTAGACAATAGGCAGTGCTCTTCAAATATGAACCATATTTTCAGAGTGCATATTTCTTTAATGGGACCAATGTAAAGCCAGACTGAAGCCAACTGATTTGTTTTTTCAGAGTTTCTAATTATGATATCTTCTGGTATACTCACAACCTCTTCTTTGTCTTCTACATGCTGCTGCTGTTGCATGTTTCAGGGTAAGTGAAACAATTTGTACCTGCAATCTGTGTTCTCACCTCACATACCACAGAAGGGAAGCATTTGTGGGAAGGGTGACTCTCTATATGAGCCAGCATCTTGTTAGCAGCCCAGAGCTCCACAAGGGATGCCTTCAGTTCTGTCAGCACCCCAGCTACAAGGAGCTCATGTCTGGGTCCCCGAAGTATACTTTAGTTTAATCGCTGTCTTTTAGTCCAGATAGTTTTCACAAATCATAAATAGTATAAAGAGTACAACTGGAATGTTCCCATGATCTCATGTCAAGTTTTTCCAGGGAAAGAGAGTTTAGAGAAACAGACCCATTGTCCTCTCTTTAGATTGTTTTGTAAAATAATTTTCAAGGTATTAAGCAGTTTATATAAATGTAGTTATTTCAGGTGCATGTTCAAAAATATTCATTCTCTCCTCTCCTCAGTTTTGGTGATCATTGGTAAGGACAGGGATATTAACCAGTTTATTCCAATTGGGTTGGATAGTTTTCTAGAACACAGAGAGGTAAGGCATCAGAAACATGGCCACTCATCATAATCATGAGCCCTGAATGGTCATTCCTGGTTCAGTTCCCATGATGAAGGTACATTCTGTGGAGCCTTAGGCTGCACCAAAATCACTGGGTACAGTGAATTTGCTTTGCATTTTCTTCTGGAAAGCAGCTGTGCTTATACCACCAACACACTATGTGTTTGTTCTCTTCTTTAAATGGCTAATTTGCTAGGTCAGAACTGTGGTCATGGAGGCGACATTGAATCAGCACATTCTATTCATGGTACCAGTAATTTAAAATACAATTATTCATTGCTTATATTAGGCTAAATATAAATTTAAATTGTTTCAAATATTTTCTGATATGAAATTCTTGGGATTTTTATGAAGATTAAGAATTTGAAAGCTGCAACTGGGAAACTAAGTTTGAGAAAGATTCAGTAACCTCCCAAAATTTACTTAATTAATATAAACTTGATTCAGACACAGACATTTTGAATGTTCTTTTTCAAAGAAATAGTTCTGAACTAGGAAAAAAAATTCTTTTTTACTACAACACACACACACACACACACACACACACACATCACATACATATTTTTGAGAGCTTGCACTTCTCAGAATTTGACGTTCCATTCTAATAGCTCTTTAAGGTTTCTCTGGCCTCACTCAGGACTGTAATCTGTTTGTCATTATCTCTTTCTTGTGTGGTTCCTTCTCTCCCTTCTTTTCTTTCTATTTGGAAAGAGAAAAATGTCATCATTTACTAACATAACCAGATATTCGTTTTTGCCTTTATGCTTTATTAAATTAAAATTTTGAAAAAGATGTTCCTTTGCCATTTAAAACAGTAGCCTTCTTTTTATGGTTCAGGAGTTCAAAAAACTGTTAGTTTAAAGGAGGATTATATTAAGACATTTTTAGACTTTTTAAAAGAAAAGACCTGTTTAAAATTAGCTCCTTTTGTAGAACAAATAACATAGGCAGATGGCAATTTTAATTTATACACATAACCAACAAAAGAGCTACATAATTAAATATAATAAATCTGTTTTATAACTGGATTAATAATGAAATGAAAGTAATTGTTGTAGTAGTTATACTGGTGTAAATATCATTGTATACATTCACAATACAATAATCATTCTATAGTACATACTTTTTTCATTGAGCTTTAATTTTTACTAAAATATAGATTGTTTCTGACATGAAGAAAATAGCTACTGGTAAATTTTGTAACTTTTTTAAAAGTTTTTTGTTTTCTTTTTAATTAACAAGTGCACATTTGCAGGCAAGTTATTTTAAATTACCTTTTGTGCCATTTCTAGGAATTCAAACAGATTTTTATTCTTGAAACACCTACGAAATATCATCCTCCAGTCTGTTTTTTTTTTTCCTTTTTTTCTCCAGTCTTTTGTTAATAAAAAGACTTGGAGTTGTTCAACGCAAGATTCATGCATGCATGTTAAAATTTCTATTTAACAGTATACTGTAGGCTTGATGGGAACAATCTCTATTTGCTTGGCACCCACGCCTCTGCCCATCAATGTATTTACTTAAGGTAAAGAGGTATAATCTACTGTGGAATCTCAGTCTCCTGGGAGATAATTGATTTGAGATTAAAAAAAAAATCAATAAAAAGCCGCAGGCTGTATCTTCAAAACACAAACATCATTTATTTACAGGAATTCTAACAATTCAGGGAAGAGATGAATCCACATTGACCAAAGATTTTAGAAAAGATTTGGCTTCAAAGATGAGGTGATTCAATTTTTTTGGCCGCTTTTTCTTCTTACATAGATTTTACAGGAAAAGGGTTCATTACTTCATGTGATTTCGTAAGGTTTTCTTTAGCTGTAGAATTTTCAAATGTATTTTGAAATAGCCCTTTTGTTTTTCCAATGTCAAACAACTTTCCTCTTTCAAAGTTTACTTCCTGCTTAAATGACTGGTATCAGTTGTTTATATTTATTAATAATGATATGAGTTCTGATACATGTATATATTCTTGGTTGATCAAGTCAGGTTCTTCAGTGTCTGTCATATCTGTCATATATTAACCTCAAATGTACTTCTGGCTTCTGAATCCCTGTGTCCCCAGGGTGTAAATGCCTAATTCTGAAAATGCCCATTTTGATGGGGCATAGCTCTAATTCCTACACAGTTCCTTCTTTTATTTTTTTTATCCCAAATTCATTCTCCTATAACTTTAATCCAGGGATTTAAAGGTCTATACACATCATCATTCTTAATTTTTCTCATTGGACATGTTATCAGTTAATATTGTCTGAATGCTTATCGTATGTGTGTGTGTGTGTGTGTGTGTGTGTGGTGCTGGGGATCGACCCCAGAACTTCAAGCATTTGCCATGTGAGGTGAGCTATATAGAGAGCTATATCTATAACTCGGCCACTGAGCTATATCACCAGCCCACTAATGTTTATTTTAATGATTTTTCCCAACAAGCCTTCAGTTGCTTGTTCTTCCTTGCACTGCTTGTCAGTGAAAAGTGTGGCACAACCCAGGGCCAGGGTGTTGGCTCAGGAGGTAAAGGCACTCATTGCCAAGTCTGATCAAACCTGAGTTTGATCTCCAGAACTCACATTGTGGAAGAAAAATATTGACTCCTGCCAGCTTTTCCTCCAACCTCCTCATGACGTGTGTGCATGCATATGTGCAAGTGCACTTGTACATACAGGCACACACACACACACACACACACACACACACACACACACACTCACACACAGTACAATAAATGAAATCTAAAAGAAAAAATGCAGAACTTGGGAATTAGAACATAGTACAATAAGAAACAATGAGATGCTGCTGTAAAGAGTCTCAAGCTAAGTTCACTGAGCTTTTCATGTGGTTGGGTTTATAGAGAAATTGAAAAGCAAACAGCTTTAGGACTTAATGGGTATGTAAAAATTGTTTCCATAGATGCAACAAGCTTTTGATGCCTGTTATTTTCATTTGCTGCTTCTCCGTGTACCATGGAGTCTGTTTTATCTAGTCTTATCCAAATCAAATATGACCCCTGTGTTTTTCTTTAAAGCTTGGAGATGTATAGCAAGGAAGCTCTTTTTACAGTGTTTATTCAAGTGAAAACTTGTAAGTGGCTGAACAAATGCCTAACAGGAATCAAGTTTGTCCAATTCAAATAACATCAAGAAGCTTGCACATGCTTCTTCTACTGCACAGACATATCATTTGTTTGGAAAACTAAACATTTTCCCCTACTTCTTAGTAAAGGATTCATTTAAAATTTAGGATATTTCAGTGGTTTTGAAGTAGATCACACATGGAACACTTTTTATAAAAGGCTGTATAAAGCCAAGGAGAAGGAAACAATTGCTTCTCTTTACCCCATTTCATCCCCTGACTCAGTCGTTTTTCCATCTCCTTGTTTTTATCCAATTTATCATAGTGGGCTGCTGAAGTATCAAACCAATTTGGATGCCCACCCGCCTGGCTGCATCAGTCTTAACCGGACCCAGTCTCAGGATATTCCCTCACTAGAATACATCTCAGAACATTTTCGTGGATCTGTGCCTGAAGGATTTTCAAAGCTAGAAGGTCATAACCAGAAAACAGTTGTGAAGATTTGCCTTGAGCAACCCAGGTTTCACGCTCATTTTCCACAGGTCAGATGAATTCTGTGTTTAAGATCCGCCAAGTCTATGGTTTCACGTGACTGACACTCCTTATAATATGCCTCTGAATCTGTGTTTTCAGGTACCGTGGGATATTCCAGGACATCTAGACATAAAATTGATATTTATTTTTTTTGTGACAAGTATCTAATACCTCAAGACAAAAGGCATGCATTTAGAATATAGAAGAATGTCTAGTTATACATTTTACGGAAATATGTTTCTTCTAGAGCTTGCTTCGAAAGACTACATATATGTATCCTAAAGCTATTAAGACATGCAGAATGAATAAGAAACACTATAAAACAAAACAGAAACAGCTACCACTTGTTGTAATACAGTTTTACAAATTAATATTAAAAATTATAAATAGTGATGTTAATTTGCTGAAAGCTTACCGTGAACTTCTTGGCCCTGTGCCGAATTGCTCGGTATGCATGATTTCTTTCCATATCCACAGCTAAACTTTGAAGCAGTTCCTCAGTTATCTGCTGGAGACATTCAGCTTACACACATATCCTTACTAAAGCCTGTAAACAAGTGGTGGGAAAAGTAGTGTGTAGATGCAGGTCTTTAATTCAAGTATTGCTCTCGAAAAGTCTTCCAAGGATTCCACAAATAGTTCAGTATCTTCTACTGCTCCCCACGCTGACCTTGTGGCTGAGGGAACTGCCAACACATAAGTGAGGCCCACGATTCCTTTTATGAAATGGAGGAAGAGATAGACTTAGAAAATCCTGCTTTAAAGAGAGAAGATAGAGAAGTAACACAGCTAGATGAATTTTTAGATGACGTTGGAATCAGCTGGCCAGTTTTCTGAGTGTCATAGAATAATGGATATTATGTAAGGTAAATATAGCAAGTTCCATTTTACTGATGTGGGGCTTAATCATCTAGGAGTGACTGGCTCAAAATTGCAAGGTCCCTGCATTGCAGGACTTATCCTGCCTTGCTTACTCTTCAGAGTGTCGTGTTCAACTGTCACAGTCTGCAGAGCAAGAGCTAACTGCCTTCATTGAATGAGCAATGTCTGGAACAACTGTGTAAATAAGGTTTCTATAAAGGGCCATTTAAATAAGACTGAAGGTCACGTGGAATAAGACATCTGTAAGAGGCTAAGGCCATATGATAGCAAGTCCAAAAGCATCTGTTACTAACACAATGAAGCTCTGTCTTAGATCATCAAAGAAAACACACATCTCTATAGATAAAATACAGTTCAGTTGAAAATTTTAAAGAGATGTAGAGGCTATTGTGTGCAGTTGTAGGGCAGAGATTGTTCTCATAGACATCTGCATTTCCCCATTCAAAACTGCCAGTTTTTATATAAAAGTAATTTTGACCATATTATATTATATAAACATTGTAATAGAAATATGCCCAGTGCATCCTAATTTCAAAACTAGAAGTGTATTTACATTTATCCTTGTGTATGTAAATCATCTGTGTATCCCTATACCTATGTTATGTTCATTGAATATCTAGGGCAGTAATTTTTTTTTTTTTTTGCTAAACATTGGACTCGTTTTATTTTTCTAAATAATACTCAGATAAATATGATGCTTTAACTTGTCTTTTGTTTGAATGGATTGCTGAGAGCATCAGCTACATTTTACTCATTTTTACCAATATCTTATTGTTTACAATTCAAATTGAAATATCATTGCTCAGTTGTTTATACAGTCGTGCATTTCTTGAAGCATGCTGATGAAAAATTTCCCTTAGACCTGGATTTGGATTTCTGGACCTTTGTGCCTGTACTGTGCTGAGAGACTTTACCGATGCATCAGGAGCAACAAACCTGTTACCATCATCTCAGTAATCAGTCATCCCTCAGATGTCATGGAACTCCGAATGGTCAAAGAAAACTTTAAAGCAAGACCTGGCCAGGTGAGCTGGTGGTTAGCGGCTATGCAAATATCCTTTATCATTGGGTAACTTTTGAAAATTAGTAGACAGATTGATTGAAATAGTTGTACTTCTCTTTTGATCATTTAAAACATTATCTGTTTGTTGCTTTTTTAGTATGTTATTCTACATTGTCCCAGTGTATCAGCATTAGAAAACCACCCATTTACTCTCACAATGGTAAGACATATATTTCTTGAATTTTAAAAATTTTAGATTATAGAACATCTTTGCGTGTGTACCTATGTGTACACATGGACATAAGTATTTGTGTATCTCTGTGTGTGCATACATGTCTGTGTACACATGTATGTGTGTCTATACATGTACACATATCTGAGTATTGGTGTGTATATATGTGTGAGTATTTATGTGCATCACACGTGTGTATTTGTGTGTATATGGGTTTTACTTCATTCTAAATATTATTGGAGGATCATAGTTCCCTTCATGTCTTAGCAGGCTGTCATTTTTTTCTTAAAGAACTGTAGTTTTCTGTTCAGAAACTTTGTGACTATTTGTTCTCCATTATTTTCTGATTCCTTACTATCCAGTATATATTAATCTTATTTAAAATTTGTGAAGGCTTATTGATTTAAAGCACAGGCATTTCTTAGTTTCACTTTTCCATGTATGAGTTATGGGCTTGGAGATATTAACAGCTTTCAGAGTGCTTTAAAAGCCAAAAAAGTATGTATTTCATTTCAATGTATCATGCATTTTGACCATGTGCATCTACAGTGGCCTGCCCTACTCGCTCCTAAACCCTCTTTCTGTCTCACTGTGTAGTATAGGCGGCGCTCATGCTCATGATCTCACTCTGCTCCCAGAGCATGAGGAGTATAAGCCTTCATCAGCTTACAGAATTTGAATTTTACATAATTTACAAATATAAGATAAAATAGGATTTCTAATTTTTTGTTTTTAAATCATTTTTCTCATTATTTGGCATTGATAATTGCGGATATTTTGTCATCTATTTCAGCATATGCAAATGCTGTCACTACCTTGTTGGTGTTTGTTTTTGCTCCTTGGGGGGCCTACCACCCAGCTCCCAAATGAATCACACAGGGAGGCTTATTCTTAATTATGAATGCTCAGCCTTAGCTTGGCTTGTTACTAGCCAGCTTTTCTTAACATAGCTCATTATTTTGTGTTTTTTGTTTATCAAGGCAGGGTTTCTCTGTGTAGCTTTGGAGCCTTTCCTGGAACTCCCTCTTTAGACCAGGCTGTCCTAGAACTCAGAGACCCTTCTTCCTCTGCCTCCCAAATGCTGGGATTAAAGGTGTGAACCACCACCTCCAGGCTAATTTAGCACATTTTTCTTTTGCCCTGGGGCTTTTCCCATTCTCTTACTTCTGTAATCTTACTCTTACTCTGTGGCTTCCTGTGTAGCTGGGTGGCTGGCCCCTTGGCCCTTCTGCTTCTCTGGCTACCTCATCTTTTCTCCACCCAGATTTCTCTTTCTATTTATCCTCTCTGCCTGCCAGCCCTGCCTATTTCTCTCTCCTGCCTCACTATTGGCCATTCAGCTCTTCATTAGACCATCAGGTGTTTTAGACAGGCAAAGTAACACAGCTTCACAGAGTTAATGCAACATAAACAAAAGTAACACACCTTAAAATAATATCCTGCTATACTAGTTCATCTCACCAAACACTATACCATGGATAATTTCTCATTTTACTCCTAAGTTTGTATGTGCCTCATTGTTTTCAGTGCCTATGTGATTTTAGAAAACACGGTTTACTTAATATTCTCTTTAATGACTGATTAGTTTTTATTCATGTTTATGATAAAGATAAGAATAAAGACCACATATTAAATGTATACAAAAAGTGAATTTGAACATATTAGGGAAGAAGAAAGAAAAAAAGATATCAATTGTGTATGCTTGGGGTTGGGGTTTTGGAAGTGAATTAGATTGAAAATCCACAACCCATAGGTGTGTTATTTTACCTTTTGGAATATGTGGCTCTCAATATTCTGTTATGACTAATTCAGTTCCAAATAATAGATTTGTAGGCGTTTAGTGACTTGTGAATACAGCATAAAGAATAGTGGTGGGTGTACAGAAAGTATTAGGCCTGTGCATAATATCCTTGTGACTTTCATTTTCAGTTTGAGTTTATTTGATAGCTTATTAACAGCTAATTGAGACAAGGGATTTATACTTAAAGAATAAAAGAAACAAAAAGCATGTGTCAAATTATTACAAGAAAACCAGGGGCCATAGATTCAAAAGGGTTTTTTTTTAAGGAAAAAAAAAATGATGTTTTTGCTTTATTTACTTCAAATTTTGTATTCTGTCTATATGGATCAAACTTGTTTCATAATCATCAAAGAAAAGTGGTTTGTCATCTAGTGAGATAACGTGTGATGTTTAGGTCTGTCAGGCTGAGCTCAGAAATGGATTTATAATTACTTTTTCTGGAGGGATGGGGGTTACTCTGAATACTCTTTCATCTGCTACTGTATGGTCTTTGACTTGTGTGAAAGGGGAAACATTTGTCAGGAGGAACAGTGAAAACTCGGATGCCCACAGGAACATAAAGCTGGACTGCTGGAATTCTTATCAGAAACCAGGGTGCTATGTCACACCCCTCAGTGCTCTGGGGTCAAGTGTGCTTTGTTCTGGAAATCTGATTAATGAGTCCTTGTCTGTAAAACTGCACCTAAGCCGTGTTTGCTTCTGACAGTTTTTTTTTTTTTTTTGGGTTTTCGAAACAAGGTTTCTCTGTGTAGCTTTGCGCCTTTCCTGGAACTCACTTGGTAGCCCAGGCTGGCCTCGAACTCACAGAGATCCGCCTGCCTCTGCCTCCCGAGTGCTGGGATTAAAGGCGTGCGCCACCACCGCCCGGCTCTGCTTCTGACAGTTTTAAGGCACGTGTTCATTTCTCAGCTTACATTCATCCATTAAACAGGAAGCTGTTTCAGAAGTAAGGTAGAAATTGAAAAGGGAGAAATAGCACAGGTAACTTTAGATGGCTGAGGAGATCAAGCCTGTTGTTACAGTCATCAGAAATTTCCTTCAGAAAGTCTTTCTTTGTGTTTAAGAGTTTATTTTAAAAATTGTACCAACATAGTATTAAACAGAGAACATGGAATATGAGAAAGGAAGGCATTTGTTCAATGCCAACTATAGAGATAGGAATATCTTTCCCCAGAAACATTTTCCAGCATGTTCTAAATGGAGAAAATAGCACAACATCGACCCACTTCAACAAAATCATAGAAGGCACCTCACCTTTTAGAACTTGTACTTTCAATTAATAATTTTTATTTTTTTTTCATGAAAATAGCAAGACGGGAGTTTTCACCAGGCATACAAAGAATGGAGGCTCCTAGAGCAAACATCTCACTTCTCCAAGGCTCCTTGCTCAAGCCAAGATGAGAAACACACACACAGACACAGACACAGACACACACATACACACACACACACACACACACACACACACACACACACACACAAACAGGGTGCAAAACCTGAGGGGCGTTTAGCTTGCACATGACCTTGAGTGAGCTGCATTTGGAAAAAAAAACAATTTAGATTAGCTCACTTATGTGTGAGATATATCAGTGTGATTACTGGGTTGTTCTTACTAATTAAAGCAAAAACGTATTTTTGAAGCTTTTTTTTTCTTTTAACATCCTGACTGTTATTTCGTCTCCCTTCTGTCCTCCCAGTTCGTTCCACCACCCACCCACCCATATCCACTTCTCCTCAATTTCTCTTCAGAAAAGGATAGGCCTCCCCCAGATATCAACCAGCCATGGCATATCAAGCTGTAGTGAGACTAGGCACTTCCTCTCCTATTAAAGCTGGATCGGGCAACCTGACAGGAGTGTGTGTGTGTGTGTGTGTGTGTGTGTGTGTTTGTGTGTGTGTGTCTGTGTGTGTGTGTCTGTGTGTGTGTCTGTGTCCACTGTGTGGGGACGAATGTATCTCTACACATGCCTGAAGAGACCAGAGGTGTCAGATCCACTGAACCTGAAGTTATAAGTGATTTTGAGCCATCTACCATTGGTGTTGGGAACTGAACACTGGTCCTCTGCCAAAACATCAGGCACTCTTAAATAAGATCCATTACCCCAGCAAAACAACCTACTGTGGAGTTTCCGTTCCCAGAACCATTCAGTGAAGAAAGAAGAAAAGACTGGGACCACAACACAAAATCCAACAATATGTTGAATCATACTTAAAATTAATTCAACCTCCCTCATCCACCACCATTTACCATAAGGGGAAAAGAACAGCAAACATAGCGTACAGCTTGCTATGAAATGCTATCAAAGACTTAAGTGTGGATGTGGGGGTCACAGAAGGGGCTGGGATAGAAGGAAATGCAGGGGGTACAAGATTAAGTAAAATAAAGGAAATAGCAGAATATTGGGGAGAACATTAAGGAGAGGAGGACAAAGAAAAAGATAAAAATAAAATAGAACAGTAATGAAAACATTTGTAAAGAATATTAGATAAATTTAAAAGAAAAAATAGTAAGACTTCTAAAACTAAGCCAAGAGAGATAGTGCATGGGGTTAGTTTGCTGGGAATTGTGCTCAGAATAGTCTCCAGGAAGGCTTGATGGATATGAAGGCAGCCAGCCCTTGAACCTTGTGGTAGAGTAACAGAAGGGATCTCAAAATGGCTAACAAGAGCTCTACAGATGAAGTGTTATTTCATAGTTGTCCTGTCTGGAAGTCAGGGGCCCAGAACTTGTTATCTCCTAGTTGACCTGTCCCTGAATTTGAGATCCCTCCAGGACATGAATGAGGCAGAAACTTTTTGAGTGAATATCAGTTTCTGGGAAAAGTGCCAATAGAAAACCATCTCCATGGCTGAGAGAGTCACTGAGTGCTCTCAGTGAAAGTTGGGAATGGTGAAAGGAAGGTGGATGATCTGGGCAGAAGAGCATATCAGTCACAAAGTTCATCTCCAGACAATATTCTTTGGCAAAGGAATTCCCTCTTTAGAATCTGAAATTAAACATATAAATCCCATATATATATATATATATATATATATATATATATATATATATATATATATATGATTCAGCATCTCCTTTCCAAGGTACATTTACAGGGTCAAAAATAAAAAATCGTTGAAGGGACCAAAGTCATTATAGAATGTAATTGATAACAAAAGCTATAACCAGAAATCAAGTTTCATGATT